GAGCCTATTAAAAGAAAAGTAATGTGATACACAGAGAAAATGAGTGTACATACTTCGTTTCGTGACTTTTGTTGTAGACATACTTAGAGTTTTGGATTTCCTATGATTCTTGTACACAGAAGTTGATAATCTTCCATTGTCGATTATCCATTTCTTAACCTATCTAAAAGCTCCAAATATCTTACGTCTACGGTACGCATTTGCTGAGTTAATTCCACAACGCAGTTTATTTCAGACATAAGCTTCAGTGCACACAACATATCTATCTGACGTTCTGTAACTTGCTGTGTCGGTGTGCAGCTACAGTAGAGAGGCTTTTTATATATAAAATAAAGATGTGAGGTACCATTGCTTCTAGCTGTGGACATAGTTCTTTCCCATTTTCTTTCTTTGTGAAACATTTGTCTTCAAAAGACTGTATCGGATTCCCTCTACTGAAAGTTCTCTCCACTGGAAGAAGGGTCTTACGCAGAATAAGTTATGTACGTTCGTTCGTTCGCACAGAACAAAAAAAAATGACCCTTTGACCTTCTGCAAGATGGCTTCTTACAGGAAATTAAAAAATCAAAATCGGTGAGATTGGCCACCTCGGACACAAGTTTAAGCCAACCAAGTATTTTCTGGGTGTCACGCTCATCTAATAGGATTTCGAGGGCCCAGAATTCAGCCAATAAAATTTCGAAAGTCCAGAATTCGGTCAATCAGGTGTTTTCTTGGTGTAGTCCTCAGCTAATAGGATTTGGAGGGTCCAGAATTCGGCCAATCACGTGTTATCTGGATGTGGTCTTCAGCCAATAGGATTTCGAGGGTCAATAATTTGGTGAATCAAGTATTTTCTGGGTGTGGCGATCAGCCAATAGGATTTCGAGGGCCCAAAGTTCGACTAAGCAGGTGTTTTTTGTAGGTGAGGCATTCAGTCAATAGGATTTTGAGAGCTCAAAATTCAGCGATTCAGGTTTTTCTGGATGTAGCTTGCGTGGAAGCAATTTTGTCGGGTGTGACTGAGTATCACTATGAAAATTTATTCGTGTAAGTCTTGTACAGTAAGATCAGGATGTGGAAATGGTCATTTCTATGCTTTTCGGTTCCGGTGTCGGCTACACAGCTTGTATGGTATACACAGGTGATGATATTCCTTTATGTAGACACTGGTACGAAGACTCGGATCTACTCAACCATCTTCGCTAATGGCCCTCACGAACATTCATATTCAAGTTTGACATGGAATACAGGAAAGATTTCATATACGTTATGGTGGGATGAGTTCAGTTATTTGCTCGGGTTGTGCATGGGTAGCTATACAATATCAATTGGTGGAACTTTTTTAAAGATTAAATTCTTTGCATGCAATGACATACGTATATCGCTTTTGTTACAAGATATAAATTCATACAAGTTTCATGAAGGATCAATAGAATAAGATATCAAAATGAACACAAATCGAGCATACAATGTATAGTAAATGCTTTACAGCTCGCAGGTTATCACGAAAATTTGAGTACTGAGAAAATTTTATTGTTTTAAACAGATAATGGAAAACGTTTTCTAGTATTTTGTACAATTCTGTCTAACCTCTTCAGTTCTTCGAGCTGAGCTGTCGATGGCTTCATTTGAAGTGTTGCGAATTCAAAAGGACGTATGATTAGTAAATCATCAAGCCGTTTTACACGAGACAATGGAACGTAAGCCGATGCGACTTCAACTGGATCAGGTGGCATGATAAGATCAATGATAATTTTACCGAGTGTTTGACCTTGACTTTTATGTGTTATCATACTGTAGGCGGAGAATTAGAAGAAGAGCTCTGCGCTTGATCGAGATTTTTGTTTGTTCGTTTGTTCATTTTTGCAGCCTTTGCCACATTCTCGGTAAGAAGCTCCTTGACATCAAAGAGGAATATTTGTCAACAAATGGCTATTGGAATTATTCTGGATTTAGGTTCAACAAGTTCAGAATCAAGCTTGCAATTTGGAAAATTCTACTAAAGCATATTTTGATTGTGTTATAAACTTAGTATCTGTTGGAAAATTCTTGTCATGGAATTGAACATCTAATGAAGATTCTTCATATACAAGTTGACGAAATATCCCACGTGTATCATTGGACAGTCCGAGCTCAGTAGCAACGTTCTCTGTGAGTAAAATTGACAGCTCCGCTACGAGAGATAAATAGCCTGGAATATGCTCTGTTTTATTGTCAGATAGTTCAAGAATCGTGTTATGTAATCGTTTTGTCTTCTATGTTTTTTCTCTGAATATAATCTTGAGTGACGCATACGATCGGTGTAAGTTTCATTTCCATCACTTTATTTAAGACCGCCCTATTGTCAAGCTGAGTACGAACTACATTTCGAAAAACCAGTATTGAAACCTGTTAACAAAGATCTAATGACGTATAGAAAAAGAAGTGATTATACATACTTCGTTCCATGGTTTTTGTTGTAATGATACTTGGAGTTTTGAATTTTCCTATGACTCGCCTAAAAAGAAGTTGATAATCTTCGATTGTCGACTGCTCATTTCTCAATCTGTTTAAAAGCTTCAAATATCGGATGTCTTCCGTTCGCATTTGCTGATTTAATTCAACGACGCAATTCATTTGAGACATAAGCTTCTGTACAAATAGCATATCTATTTGACGTTCTGTAAATTGCTATGTCGATGCGCAGCTTTGGTAGAGAGATCTATCCAATACTGGAGAATATTGCAGATAGTCGCAAAAAAACCTGACATTCACACTACCAAAAGGAAACTCAGAATTTATGTGCCTTGCTATTTTCACTATTCGATTAAGACGAGCTAATAGACTAAGTTCTGCCATACTCATCTCATCGATTATCAAGTACTTGACATGACGCCATTCATTTTCCAACTTCGTGTCCACGGGTCTAAATGGTCATGTTTGCTTCTTTTCGGAATTTTTGCGACTTTCGTCTAAAAATGAATGTATATTTGATCTATCAATCTCTGCTGGTGCTATAGACGTTAGTGTCAGTTTACGCAGCATTTTGTTCATCTTGGTTAGTAAGAAATGCTTGGTGATTGTCCGAATCAACTAAGATTTTCCAGTATCGCCGTAGCCAGGTACATACATCGGTAACTGATTGTCGATAGTACCTAAATAGTTATGGTTAATGATAATTCTTAATTACAAAATCAAGAAATATGTCACAGGCAAAATTAAACTTAGGCAAAATTGATATTAAATTAGGCGCATAATGTTACCTGTACTTTTTTTTATTTAGAAACGATTTCTAATTATCATTTGCATTCAGAAATTTTCTGTAGATTACTTGATTATTTCATTAATGAACATATGAGTAATCTTTTCGCAGATATAACAGACCCGAAACATGTTGGAAACTAAACTAACAGATATAAAATTTTATACATAAAAGAAATTGTTGTCAAACTTTAAATTCTTTATTTATTTATGTTTTTGTTTTTGCAATAGTATTTTCCTAGTACGACTGAAGATAAAAATTTCTTTTCCATCTCAGAAATTATTTGCGAATTGAATGCTTAACATAGAATGTCTACAGATTAACATCATACGGTATCAGCTGTTTGATGATTATCACTTTTCTTTGTATACTGCGAATGAAATGTAACTGATCATTTGTAAAAGTATTACTAAGAAAAACCAATTGATATTTAACTTTTATTTTTATTATCTTTAATAAAAAAAAAAAAACTATTCTCAAACCATATGATTACTAATGATATTTTATATATATTTTTAATTCTCATTTTGTTCTCTTTTTCTCTTCTTTCTCCTGGTGAACTCTACATCTTCTTAAATCCAATGATTTCAATAGAAAAAGGCGAGCGAACTCTACACCTTCTTAGATCCAATGATGGTTTCAATAGAACAGACTAGGGAACTCTACATCTCAAATTTACTATATACTTTTGAATTAAAATCATAAAATTTGTTATTCCACTACGTTGCATCAATTACTAAAACAATCAAGTTCAATTTTGTCTAATAATTTAAATTTTCAAAATATTGATTTAATTTTGCCTAGGTCTCAATTTTGCCTGACACAAGTACATACAAGTGTGAATTTAATTATCGCCATCTAGATGATTAGTAACAATCGTAAAAGCACATTTCTGCTGACTATTTAACGTGAAATTTTTGACAATGTCCATTTTTATTGGAAATACTACTGCTGTAGTTGCAATCACTGGTGGCACTGTGGCAGCTTGTGCTTTAAACGGACTTCTTGGTATTTCAGCAGTTAAGACTTCAATCTGTGTTTTAGCATCTTGTATCTCTAAACTGTCTTCACCTGAAATTAAATAAGTTCTTGCTTTATCTCTTCTGTTTCCAATGTCGTATTTCCATCCTTTGTTCATTATTGCATGATGTGGTTCAGCTACCATGAATGTCTTAAAAATGTGTGCGATATCATAGCTATTTTGTTCCATACGTTTGTGTGACCTACATGAAACTAAATATTTTCGAAGTGCAGCATTGATAAACTCACCATTAACTAATGCAAATCTATCCGTGTTATCAGTTGCTTGTAATGCGTCATTTAGGTAACATTGCTCTTGATTACCGGTTGATTCGGAGTAAGTATTCGTAGTTACCGCATTTACGATGGGTACCAGTTGTAAAAGTTGTTCAGAATCGTTTTCTTCGGTGTGTTAGTCCTCCTGATAGCAGTCTGGTGTTGGTGTGGAAAACAACATCACACTCTACACCTATACCCACATCTACACCCACACCCACACCCACATCCTTAGAACAGGATCAATGCTGCTGTCATTTTGCGCTGCTAAAGAAACTTTATGAAGGTGCTCATTTCGATAGTGTTTAAATTCATGCAAGGGTTGTATATTTTCGGTAGTTTTGAGTTAGCTGGAAGAGATCAAT